TGGACCTGGACTGAAATGTTGAATGAGGTGATAAATGAGGGCCTTTCACTCTCAAACATGAATCTGATATCTCTGACAAGAAGCACATTAGTCCTGTTTGAATCTCTTCAAGCTGTTTTGACAACTCTGTCATCGATTTTAAATCACTGGAGTAGAAGTGCAATACATCAAAGGGAAGTGCAATTTGTTTCAGTACGTCTATGTTATCAGTCTTTGTAAGTGCTCATTTTGAGTCACTTTAGGCAGATACAGCCGTAAAACTCTGGGATTTCGCGATAATGAATGTTGTCCACATTGTGTACCCGATCTTGTGCTCATGCATGAACTATACTGTGCCGACGCACACCTCTTCCAAGGTTGCCAGGGCCAAGGATGTGTACCGTGGTTGATCGCAAGTCAACAAACTGGACTTTAGGGGTGAAGCGAGCGCCTTAAGAAACACCCAACTTATGCTCCCTGAATGATGAAGCCCGGGGATTGAACACTGCTTATAACGTTTGTAAAAATAAATATTGCCACAGGAAGCAGAGCATAGATGCTAGAACAAACAACTGGACTCACTTGGGTCTTCTTTACCCCACACCACATGGACCCTTCTGGTAGTGACCAATGTCTGATAGAGCCACATGGTTTCAAATGAGTGAGTCTCATCCTGTGTTTTCCATTCCAAATTTGCACATAAATATATCATATAGCTGAAACAGCTTATTCTAACAAGTGGTGGTTGTGAACTAAAGTTGGCTAAAGTTTAAGTCATGAATCTCCTGGGCTGGAGAAATTGGTACCATGGTACCAAATAAAGAGCCGTTAGAGAGCAGACTCTTATCGCTGAGCAAAATGATCTGGTTCACTTAAAAATAGCTGGAATTCCCATCACTAATGAAAAGCTCGGGGGAAACAGTTTGTCTGGCTCTGCCGCCTTAAACACACCTTGTTCACTCTGTTGAGCGTGATTTCGCAGGATGTAGAGGTTCACACTTGCGCGACTCTGTGATTGTCTAAGCAAAAGGTGTTTTTCTCTGTCACCTAGGAAATTGCTGTTAATGTTTTTTGTGAAATCAAAAGTGAGCATTGATGTTTTATTTTAGCTCAAACCGTCATGTCTTCAGAAAGGAGGCAAACTTCCTTCTATTTTCTTTACTTTGGAAACCAGACCCCCATCTGAGGACATATTTGCTGTTGATCTATATTAGCACATTTTGGTTGAACATATTTCTATGTTTTATGACATGCACATCAGTTGAAGAATGTATCGACAGTCAGACAATAGTTACTTGAAAATCTGCAGGAAGTCTAGCCGGTGCTGTTCTACAAGGGTGCAAAAGGTTGCATTGCACCCTCATTTTAAATTTGTACATCACAAAATATATTTTTTAAATCAACCGTTAGACATTTCAGTTGGACGTCGGTCTGTTGTAAGTCAATATAATGTTCTTAAACAACATCTTGTGTTGCTTTTTTTTGTATCGGATACAGAAGACTCCAAACAAGGCTAGCTGTTTACCCGTGTTTAGGCAGTGTGCTAAGCTAAGCTAACCTTAACAAGGATACAGCCTCATAATGAACAGAGAGATGTAATGTAACTCTCTGCTCTATGAAAGAAAGCAACTGAGGAAATGTCCAGCATTTATTGCAGAATGTAATCATATCCAAAATGTTTCCCTGAATTATTAATGGTGTCTGAAATGTACAGGTTGTTTATGGCTGCCTTTAAAACACCCTTGATATTTTTATCCTGCTTTTTGTTTGCTTTGCGAAGCACTTTTCAAAAGTTCTTCTAGTCATTGCTTTTGTCCTTTTTGAATAATTTCATCTCCTTGAAGGGTAAGACAATAAGACCAAACCTGCTACCTTCCTGCATGCTGTGTTTCTCATTTACTCGATCAGAGCTGTGGTTGGGCATGAACACCCCCAAGCATCAACAATTCCCCCTTCTCTGATTTGCTTTTTTCAGTCATTCTCTGTGTCTGTGTCCTAGAACTTGAAAGAGATGTGTGGGTGTGAAAAACGTATTGTGCCAGACTCTTTTGCAGAGTCCAGTATACTGTTAAAAATCACATGCGTGGTCTGTACCACCCACACACCCAACTCCTTCTGCTTCACCGGAGCTTTGGGTGGATATTCTCGGTGAGTGGTAGCGTACCAAGGTCAACAGGCAATCAGGATTGTTCCATTGAACAAGCTTGGTGGCCGCTCCTCTCTGTGCTTTGCAGGAAGGTTTTTCACCTTGAGCCTGAGATGTTAATGTCAGCTGGAGCGTGCTAATGAGTTAAACTTTCCTTTCTGCCTGCACAGGAATAACTCTTAATGCAGCAAAGTCATGCCAAAGTTAACACTGCAAGTAGTATTTAAATAGAGTTCTTCTAATGATGAATGTGCTTCATGACAAATGCTAATTAACATGACTATTTTTAACATAAATTTGGCCAAAGGTAAACATATGTTAGACTGTAGTGTTGCTATGGGATGAGTCAAATTCAGTTGGTATCCCTTGTACAAACTCAATCTTGCCATCTGATAATGAGCCCCCGAAAGGCTTCTCATGCGATACAGACTTCTATTCTCTGTCTTTGGGTCTTGAGACAGGCAGGGTTGGGACAGGCTCTGCAGCACTGGTGCGTACCAGGCAAAGTCTGAACAAATAAGCATCTTGTTTTCTATGTTATTTTTTACAATTGGATTCATGGTATTCTGATTATCGATGGTGAATTTGAAATAATTGGATTGGAGTGGAATATCTGTTTATTCATATCTGATTGAAATAAGCCATTTAGCTGCAAGATTTGGGGGCAAATTTGGTTAAAAAAAGAGAAACGTCAAGCTTGAAAAATGGCTGGCCGTGTTCTGGTGAATGTAGATGTACATCACACATGCATTATATATGTTTCACATTTCTCACCCTAAGGGGGTGTGCCTCACTGTTTGACAGCCCCTGTGCTAAGCTGATAAGCTGAGTTTGAGAAACGGTGATAATGAACAAAGAGCTGGTACCTCTCAATCGACTAAATGTGTAGTTGAATGTAGTGTCCTGTCAGGTTTTATGTCAGTATTGCAGTAATCATAGGAGTAACCATATTCTGAAGGAGCTGAAATGATTTTAATAATGCCCAACAGAGTCTCTCCAGCTGCTCTTTGAGGAAAAAAGGAATTAAGATATCTTTGCTGGAATGATCTCTTTGTTCTGGAGTATCCCTTTAAGTCACCTCCTTTGTTCTGTAAGCGCAGGAATAAGATAAAGCCGTTCCCTCGCTCCTATCACACTCCCTATCAAATCCCACAAAGAAGTACTACACGGTTCCTTTTTTTCTTCTAAATGTACTCTGCCCTTGACAATATCCACTAAAATCCTGAGCTACATAACAAAGCTTTTTTTTTTTCAAAATACAAAGGAACAGAGATTTTTATCATCGGTTTCCAGAGAGGACAAATTGTTCTTGACAAAGCCATGGAGCGGTCCAGCGATTAGTATGGTTCCTGTAGATTGAGTTGCATGGTTATAAAGTGAATGCATAATGACTTCCACCCATGAATGATAACGAAAGCTATAGTTTAGACAGGATATGTTCTTTCCTTTTGGAGAGGAACAATGGAAGGGAATTCCTATGTGGTGGATTGAGGTGGTTCCTTCATGTAGCGTTGCAGGTTCAGCGTGATGGATGAATTCCTATGGGGCTTCTTTCTAGCTGCTCGTACCCCACAAATGTGGTTTATTGATGCTATTCGCCTCACCCTGCTAACTCTTAGATCTCATGCTATGCTATGCAGTGACTGAGCTTGCCCACCTCTCCTTTGAATTTGCATATTCATACATGCAAATGCAGCTTGGCGTTGGATTTTCTATGAAGGCATTTAACCTGCATCAAGCCCTACAGAGACAATGACCTTGGATAGGCACAAAGGTTCTTTAATGTAAGATATGTCTTCATAGACGATGGAGCAGCTATTTTTATGAATCAAATTCATGTCTACTGAGAGTTGGTGATTATTATTGAAAAAAAAAAAGGGCCCCAGGACTACAACTTGAGATACCTCATGCTTATAGAATTACAAGCCGTCTCTGCAGAGCGCTCAGTCATTCTGTTTTTGCACTGACAATTGGCATTTTCATCGGTATGAGTAGAACCACTCCATGCCACGCTGTTTAATGGCGATCTTCCTGTTGAGGGACCTAATTCTGGAAATACGCTGTATGTCAGGGGTGGGCAACTTTGGTCACAGCAAGGGCCACATTCGTTTAATTCTCACTGCTAGAGGGCCAAATTGTAGTATACAAAAACGATTAAAATCAATTATGTCTCAAATTTAACTCAACATATACTAGTGATGAAATATAACTATGGACATCTTTCTGGTTTTCATGATTTTATGGCAGATTTGTCATGTTTTCTTCACGTTTCCAATTAATTGACATGAAAAAATTGACCTGAGGTTCACGTTGAGGGTTGATGGGGGGCCGCCAGTTTCCCACCCCTACTGTATGTAGAAAAGTCGTAGTGGAATGCAACGCCAACATCTGGTCAGATCTGGTTGCACAGTGATAACAGAGAGCACTTTAGGGTTTAGGCGCATGTAGTTACAGGTTGAAAGGTTCGTATAGTGCTTGTTGGTTAGGGGTTAGGGTTAGGATAGAGCGTTATTTGTCCTATATACCAAGAAAAGCTAGTGAGTAGCATAAATGGTTTTCATCTATCCATGACATTTTCTCATGCACAGTTGATTGATTATGGCATTATAAGAAAGGTCCAGGGTTTAGTAGGGTTAGGTATTAGGTCCATGAATAGCAGAAAAACATTTCATGCCTATCTGTGTTGAAATCTCTGGCCTGTGACAAAAGTGATCAGCTCAATGTCTCCTGTCTTTTTTTGTCCTTCAGGGATCTCCGTCAGCATCTCCACCTTTAGCCTCGTGGCCATTGCCATCGAGAGATACAGTGCCATATGCAACCCGCTGAAGTCCCGGGCGTGGCAGACGAGATCCCACGCCTACCGTGTCATCGCTGCCACATGGGTGGTGTCGTTGCTCATCATGGTGCCCTATCCGGTGTTTAGTGCCCTGAAGACGTTCCCCAAAGCGAATGGCACTGTGGGCCACATGTGTCGTCTTGATTGGCCCAGCCAGCAAGCCGAGCAGACCTGGTAGGTATCCCTTCATGGAAGGTTTCTTTCCTTCATCAATCAATCGTCTGATCTGGTTTTCATGACAGGAAGAATACCATCCATCTTGCCAGCATGACATGTTTTTTACAGTGACCCCTGTCAACTATGACAAATGCCATACCGACCAGAAAACTTTGTAAATCTGACACGTGCATGACATTCAATTGATTGATATGCCTTCAATTCCCCAACACAAAGGTATAAAAGATAAACAGACTAAGGTTTGTGAATTGAATGCAGTCGACTTGTCGTTGGTTCAAAATGTTTATATGTCCTGATTTGCATTCAGGGACGTTTATAATTATCATTTCATGATGAGGGGAAAACTTTGCTATGCAAGTTGTGCAATCAGACTTCTTTCTAATTATTACTCACTGTTTGAACATTGATTACATTTTGCAAATGGGCGAGGCCAAGGATGAGATTGAGTATGACAGGGGCCAAAATGTAACGACTCAACAACAGGGTCTCAGCATTTCCAAAACTGGAAGTCTTGTGAACTGATTTGCAGTGGTCGTAACCTTCCAAACTGATGAAGTGGTCATTGGTGGCCAAAGCTGACTGGTGAATGTGGGATCAGTATGGTCAGTTCATTAGAACATTACCTGGTCAGGGTGCCCATGTTGACCCCTGTCCGCCTGCCAAAAGATCCTACAATGGGCAGGTGACCATTAGAAATGGACCACGGAGCAATGGACGAAGGGGGCCTGGTGGACAAGAAGACCTGGAATAGCTTGCAAGTGAAAGTTAAGTTCTGGCAGAACTGGGCATTTCCTCTATGTCTTCATAGGAAGTTGTAGGAGAGGGGTAAAAAAGTAGCTAATGATAGAGAGAAGTCTTCTCACCGTCTTGTCATTTCTGTTGAACCTTTGGGCCGAAACCATATAGGTGGTTACAGAGGCAATGTCTGGAAAAATAATGAAATCATTAAAACCGGAGACAGGTTTAAAAGGTGCCCAGGCAGCTCTTGTTGAGGCATTATTACAGACAGTTTGAAATGGGATATAGCGGGGCAGGGTTCGTACCAAACTTCAGAACTGGGACTACATAATTAGATACAGGTTCTTGATAATGTGTGTGCCCTTTGTGTTGGCGCTTCTCAAGGATGCATTGCACCATTTTTGCCATCGTTTTCAATTAAAATGATAGTTTCTCTGCTCCTGACTACACGCTGAAAGATGAAAGAGTGGAGCTTACAAAAGGTCAAGAACGATTGCCGCGGCGGTCTAGAGCACTTGATGTTAGGAAAGTTATCCATCCATCTTCTTGCTCTCTGAGGACCAATAAGTGCCAGTTTGTTGTTAGGAAGCAACCAAAGCAGATGTATAAGCTACTGTATGTTAGGGCATCATGGGATACAAAACGCAGGTATTTTTCTGTAAACAACTTTGGATCCTGCAGTGATAGCGCAATTAAAATAAATAGGAAGCTGAACATGACAAAACCTTGTACATTTCCTCGACTTGACAGCCTTTTGTGGTTAACACTGTGAAGAATTCCCTTTTCTCTGACTGTCTATCAAACTGTAAAGCTTCTCTGGGAAAGACGAGGCGGTGGGAGAGCAGTTAATTAGTCTGCTCAGCGAGGGGGGGAGGAGGGAAAGATCGGGGCTCAAATGTCAAAAGTCCTCGTGTCATGAAGTGTGAGCTCCTTTTAAGTTTTAATTCCCCAGTTACGGCCATCTTGAAGATTGCACCAGGGTGAAGGGTTAAAACATCTTTTTTTTTCATCTCCCGGGGACTAAAGGAAAACGGGAACCTTTTCTGCAGCTAATGAAGCGGTGCTTAGACTTATTGAAGCAGATGATGGGGAAGACAAGAAAGAGCCATAATGGACCATTTTTTGTGAAGTGAAAGACAAATTTAGTTGTTGATTTTTAGAATAATTCTTAGTGAAATTGACTCCTCCACAGGAAGCTTGTTATATCTGTTCTCAAGCACAGATTTAAGTAGACTTAAATTTGGGTTATGAACATTCTGGACATTAATACTTAATTCTGTCCTACGTTATACATCCTACAGTTGTAGGAACACTTTTTCTACAAATGGCCCACAGTAAAGAGTTTCATCAGAAAAGATACAAATTAGGAAACTCAGCCTAAATCCAAGCTGAACTCATGAAATGTGTAGTATCCTATAAAATTGTTTTATGATGTTAATAGAAGACAATTACACAATTTAAATCTAAGGCTGCACATATCTGCTTCAAGTGTAAAGGGAAGTCAATGTAGAGCCTCAGAGGCAAACCAGTAATGGTAACACTCGCTGCTCATCATTAAGTTCATTGCTGTTTGGGCAAAGTTAATATTAAGGGAACTCTGGATTATTATACTCCCGTTTCACACTTACAGAGAGGAAAAAAAAAAAACACCTTCAAACATAAAAAGGAGAGAGAGCAAAAAGTGATTTCCGACTCTATCCACTGTCCTATCTCTCCATTTAAAGGCACAAAATTCTAAAAAAAATAAATAAATGATGACAATCCTTCTTGTAGTTCATACTGTATACTGTAGTCTCGACATACTGGGATCGCCATTACCGCCATGCTCATAAACAAAAATGTCTTGGATGGGCTGTTCAAGTGCCATGACTGAATCAGGCTGAGGTGACACCTAGTCGACAGCTAGCAGCATCCACGCCCCCCAATAAAGCATAACTGTAAGTAGTGTACTGTAGTTAAAACTTTGTTCAGTTGTGATAAATATCTATTAAGACCAGGCTGTAAAAGTGGAGAGTTGGGACCCATAATATGGGGTCTAATGGGGAGTGACTCACTTTAGATCCAGGCTCAAGTGGTATTTAGGGAACTCCTTTTTTTCTTTTTTTTGGTCTTAATTTTTCCTTTGCTTTAGTTCCATCCCCAGGGGGCTTCGCATAAAACACAAACAAGAGGAAGTTAATTTTCAGAAACGTGCAACAAGTGCCTCTCGTTTCCTCGGGTGAATAAAGTGTTTCCTGCTTGGTAATCATGAAGCATTCAGGTGATGTTTGAAGAGTCAAAAGAGCTAGCAACGTCTGAATATTCATGATATTTAATTTTTCTTCTTTTTTTTTTATCGCGTCCTTCTGCCTCTGCCGACCCCCCCCCAGAGACAAAACAAGCGCAGATATCTACCAGCACTCCCCAAGTGTTCCCGCGCTCTGATGTTCGCTTCCTGACAGCTTTTTGTTCAACACATTTTCCAGCGTATCAAACGGCCGGCCGATGAGAGGCTTCGACTGAACCCTTTATTTATAAAAAAGAAGTGAAAGGAGAGCGCAGCCGTGCGGCGTTCAGAGGATTACCCAGGAAGACATTAGAATATCAGAGAGTGAATGAAACCCTGACCTCTTCCTAGCCGCCGTCGCTTTCATGTGACTGATGTTCCTCTGGGGGACGTCGGTGGTTAAAGAGGGCGTTCTCTGATTGGATGTCGTGCACATTGTAAAGATTTATTACAATCAAAGTGACATCTGCATTTTTTTTTTTTTCAAATCTTATTTATTCATGGATTTCTCTTTCTAGTTTCCTTTTCCACAGTAATTGCCTGTAACCTTCTTTCTGTATTCTCTTTTTAGTTTATTTCACTTAAAGTTTCATCCGTTTTAATGCTCCGCGTGTCTCCACTTTACAGTCCCAAGTGGTTCTACATTCATCCTACTTTAAAAACAGATTCAAAGTTACAGTGTTCAAAGTCTTAAAGAGACTATATGCAAAGTGCTTTTCTGCAGTCTGACTCAGATTCCAAGAGTCCCAGAGCACTTTGAATTTTGTACACTGTTCAAACATCTTCCTTACAATGTTTTATTCATTTCTTTTTTTCATTTTTTTTTTTGCACTTTATTCATTTTGCTACTTTCTTCTTGGAGGTGTCATCACTCCAGGCACTCCGGCAAGCAGGAGCCATTATCGTTGTTCTTTTCTTTGCGAGGAAAATGGATCTTTTTATGATAAAAAAAAAAAAAGAGCCGAGTACACAGCCTTAGGGAGTGGAAAATGTCTCACAATTGTCATATTTAACCATATTTACTTGTCCAGATGTAATTTCATTTTCTGGAGAAAAAAAAAATGCAATTATGTGTGTTGGGTAACGTATAGCCCTGAGCGCTGTCTGGTATGTTGTGCAAGGAGTTGTTTCTAGTTGTTTCCATATGTTCATGTGATGTGTAAATATGCACTATACCTGTGTAAACCATCAATATGTCAACACAGAGCTTTAACAAGGTCATGTTGACAACCTTATAGGTTAAAAGGATGGATGCTACCCAGCGTACTGGTCTAACTGGTCCTACTGGCTCACAGCACTCTGCAAACTGTGAAGATTCAATTCTTCTTTATGTTTGGAGCTGTGTGGAAATATCCATACAACAATATATCATCATGGTCCTGACTCGTGACTGATCGGGATTCAACACGGATATGCAATTTAAAACAAATAATTGTCTTAATAATGATACTGTAGATTTGCCTCAGGCTCACCAGGTCACTTCTTCAGGACCCTTCAGGGTGGCGCTTATGACATGAATGACGCTAAACGTGAAGAGATGTTAATTGGCCAAAGAGAAATAAGAAGGTGGGATAATTGACCACCATTATGGTATTCTTAAAAATAAGTATAAGTATGACAGTTTTTTGACTTTCTTTATCTAGAGTCCGACCGATTTCTTGGCCAGCCGATATTATCAGCCGATATTAGCATATCCAATGACCATATGCATCGATAGCGGGCGAATTGCACCGATATTACTAGATTGATTCACCAGTCAACATCATTTCATGTGATCATTGTATTACACTACACTCTTTAACCAGCAGAGGGCGCTATATGGATTACAACAAGCATGATCACCCTCCAGAGTGTCAAGCAGTGATGCACGTGCATGCACAGTTACTTTCCAGTTTAGTGACCATCCTGTCTACTTTATACTGCGTATGTTTTCCGTAAGTGTTTGATAACGGCATTTGAGGGATCAACACATCAAATCTGTCCATTTATTTCTACAGAACAAACATAGGTCTAAGAAAGATTTACACCAATATATTGGTATCCGATAATATTTCTTCCTAATATCGATATCGGCCCCAAAAAATCCATATCGGTCAGGCCCTCGTTTTATCATAGTTCAGCTTCAAATGTCCAACAAGACAAATGGGCTCAGGTTGAGCAACATTTATGTTTATGTAGTAGAGCAATAGATTATTCTTTTTGCCAAACCATGAACTTTCCTTAAATGTGACCATTTGAAGATTGACTTGACCGAGCACTTTTAAAAACCAAATCGAATTCCCATCTGAACATTGGAACACTCTACCCTTCCAGCAGTGTTAATATATGGATTTAAAGGACTTGAACCTCTTTATAAAGGTTGACAATTTATGAATATGTAGAACACCCACAGCGTTCTATTAGACGTTTGGTTGGGCCACCATGAGACAGGAATATTGAAGTGCAGCCTGCAGTGAAATCTACACGCAGAGGTGTAAACTTTCAGAAAATAAGCTAACTCTCAGCAGTGATAATACTCGTGGATATAACCGAACATTGCATCAGCATCACACTGCCAGTTGTAAATTAGCCAGCAGGGAGAAGCTGTAGAGCTTGCGATGCTTCAGCAACTTTGACTGGGCACCATGAGGGTAAAGAGGCTTCAAGCATCCGCAGGCCTCAAGAGCAATTTATTTAATCTGCAGCTACAGAATCTGACTCTTTGGGCCGGTCCTGAGAGCTGATAGCTCTGATTTTGTTCTGTGTGTGTGTGAGAGCTGTTTTTGATCCCCCCCCCCCTCTCTTTTTCCATTCTGGCTGTTTTTCAGGTATATGCTGCTTCTGTTCACCTTGTTCTTCGTCCCGGGAGTGGTGATGATTATAGCCTACGGTCTGATCTCCAGGGAGCTCTACCGAGGCATGCAGTTCGAGTTTGGCCACAACAAAGAGACCACTGGTGAGCTCCATCATGAATTCATTCATTCAAAAAAACGCTTCTTGTTATTGCTCAAACCGGAGCAAGTCTGTTTTTACTTCTGTAGGCCTGAATGTGAACCTACAGTGAATCACATGAAGAAGAAAGGAAAGGGCATTATTCATTAAAAAGAAAAACAGAATGTGATTTTTAGAGCTTTGTAGGTAGTCTCTAAAAGATGCAGATGACTCTTCCGAGGTAAAACCAGCAAAATTAATAATGCAACAAGTTTGCAAATTGAAATTAGTTTGTTTTGCCTTGAGCAGTCCATGACATATTTCCTCGCTCCCCACAGGGTCTGCACCTGTTACATCCACAAATAGTCTTTCTCTCAGCTTGTTTTCAGGCCCGTTTTGGAGTTTCTCCATAAAACCTGTATCTAATGTTTGTTTTTGGGTTTTTTTTCAAAGAAGATTCTGAAAAGTGTGACTGAAAAGAGTGCATTCAGGTGAATTCTAACTGCTGTCGTCGTAGCTGTGTGCATGCGGTGCACCAGTTTCCATGGAGTCCATGGTCTTATGAGTGATTCATAAAGGGTCGCGACGATCTGAAATAACCTTCAGAAGCAGCGGTAGATATATAAACACGGTGTTATTTCTTCAGCATGTAGCAAGAGATCTTTTAGTCATACAAAATGTATTTTCATGTTTCATGTTTATTATGATCCCGCGCTCTACCGTTTCTAACCATCGCCTACAGACGGATCTGACTTTTTCCTATTATCACCCCTGCTACCTAGTTTCCCCCCCAAGGCATCAATATGCATCACATTGTGTCAGTGTGATCTTTAAAACAGGCTTACCCCCCCATACACTGCACATTATAAGATCTGCTCTGTGCTGTAACGTAATTGTCTGAAGCACAACTGAGGGTTTAAAGGTCACATATTTTGCCAAATGCACTTTACCATGTTTTTCTAACACTAATATGTGTCCCCTAGCCGGATTTAAAAAAAAAACCCAATTATGAGAAAAGTCCATCCTCTCTGTCTTTTGCCTGCTCCACTTTTCAGAAAATGTGTGCTCAAACAGGCCGTTTGGAGATTTTCCCTTCATGACATCACAAAGGGCAGTAACCCCTCCCCCAGGTGGGTGACACTCCCACAGCTAGGTGTTTGTTCTGCCCTCTGAGTCAGGCCGGTTGTTTTCAAGCAGAGATATAAAAGGCTTGTTTTGGGATTTTTGGATTCAAAGGGTGAAATGGATCACTAATTTAATCAACAATCCCAGCTTCTTTAAATCTGAACTTTGTGACGGTCCACAGGTCAGAAGAACGGCGTCGCAAAGCCTCTCACGGGGTCCAACGACGACGACGACGGCTGCTACATCCAGGTGTCTAAAAAGCCCTCCTCTGCTGTGGAGCTCCCCACCCTCTCCGCCGCGGCCGCCGCCAACCAAGCCAAGACCGAGCGCGCCCGCAGCAACACCTCCGAGGCCAAGCTGCAGGCCAAGCGCCGCGTCATCCGCATGCTGATGGTGATCGTGGCGCTCTTCTTCGTCTGCTGGATGCCGCTGTACACCGCCAACACCTGGAAGGCCTTTGACCTGAGGTCGGCGTCCAAAGCGCTCTCAGGAGCGCCCATCTCCTTCATCCACCTGCTGTCCTACACCTCGGCGTGCGTCAACCCCATCATCTACTGCTTCATGAACATGCGCTTCCGCAAGGCCCTGCTCTCCACCTTCGCCTGCTGCTGCCGCAACCGGCTCTGCCGCCGGTGCTGGTGGTGCGGGAGGAGGAGGGAGGCGGGGGATGACGGCACCACCGCCGTCTCCATGGCGACGTCCATGGCCACCTCCATGTCCAAGTTCAGCTACACCACGGTGAGCACCACCGGCACCTGCTGAGCCTGGAGGGGAAACCGCGGCAGTCACATCAGACTCCCCTGCGCCATCTGTTTGACCGACTTCCCCCCCCGCCCTCATTGAGGAAGCCTTTTATTTTTTCAAATTGTATTTTATTGATGAAGCCTTTACACAAGGTCTCCTTCAGCTATGTGTGCATGGCTGCAGAATGTGAGGTGGAGAAAACACCGTTTCAGTTTGGTGAAGCTCATCCCCCCATCCTCCTCTCTCTCTCTCTCTTTTATTGGCAGCATCCGCTTTGTTGCATCCTGAGAAAGAACATCAAGTGCCTGTGCTCTGTGTGTGGCTTTGTGTGTTCTGGTAGTTCGTTCACTGGCTGATGGACATTTTAGTGACAAAAACTACGTTGTAAATACTTTGTGCCAAAGGTAAATTATGAGACATACTGTCAACCAATGAGGACGTTAGCTCAGTATGGATTTCATCCTTTTTTTATTTAATGTTGTTTCATGTTCATTCATTCAGGGCATCTCTCTCTCTCTCTCTTTTTTTTTCAGAATCATTCTCCTGAATAACTTGCACATTGTCGACTCCCAAATTCTGAAAAAGCTGAATGCCAAGTAGTCAGCGTGTTTACACCAAAAAAATATATCAAAGGGAACAGAGTGAGTCCAGTTTTTATTTTTTAATCTGGACAAACTCTGACTTTATGTTTTGGTCTTATTGACTAATGTTTCATCACTTCTTATTTTTAAAGCAGCAGCCATCCAAACACTGAAATGTATATGT